CCAATCTGTTGGCGGATTTGCATTGCAAACGATTTAAAAAAAACAATTAGCTACCCGAACGAAAGTATCGGTGTCTGATTGGCTATTCACGCAATCTTTCGAAACAGGTGTTATCCATAAATTTAGGCAGATTGTGACGAAAGCGTGAAGCTGGAAGTTCTTTAAGAGGCGAAAGTGATGATGAAGGTGCTCGAGAAAAAAAAAAGGGAGGGGGGGATTCTGAAAATATTTGCCAAAACTAGAGCAATCCCAACCTGGAAGGCCACAACCCTTCCGATGCCAATAGGAACGAGATGCCTGGAAAGTGCATTTTCAATAAACTGTGGCTTCATCAAGCTGACTACAAAGACTGGATATTGATGGATGGCAATCCTTAAATGTGGTCTTTGAAACAAATTGAAATTTCTAGAATGAGAGAGTCAGCGCTGAAAATTCACATGAAAATTAAGTTTCGTTTTTTATCATTTCAATTTGTTTTTACACGGTTTTGCTTAGCTTCAATTTCTGTGTTTGTTTCAATTAAGCCATAAATTAATTTTTTATCACCTTCTACGGAGTTTATTCTCTTTTGCACATACTATATGTATGGGATATCGGGATTATGAGTTTATTTCTGCAGAGGGTCTGTTATCGATTTCGCGGGAAATCTGTTGGCTCCATTTCGATTTTAGGTCGCCAAGGGCAAATTCGGTAACGCTAGCTGAGAAAAAGTGAAGTTCGGAAATACGTTTTGAAGCTTCAATAGACAATTAAGTATTTGGTTTAAACCTATGTTGTTGATAGTAATGCATAATTTTTGCTAATGGCGATACAATTATTAGTTGAAAATAACTAACTAATTAAAATTTTTTTAATATTTTTAAAGCTGAAAACAACTAATTGAAACTAATTTTCCTGAATTAACTAGACGCAAAATTAACTTTCATGAATTACTAAAGTTATTGGGTAGAAGTTTAACTGAAAATATACATTTCGTATTATATGTATATATATATATATTTATACAGTACAAAGTCCGAGGTCTGGACTCGTCGGGACTTCGGCGATCCCAGATTTGAGATTTTTCCGGATATTAGATCATTTTAAATCTACTAAGATGGCACGTAGAAATTATAAAATTGAAAATATGAAATCGTGATTTATGAAATAATGAAGCATTTATGATTTAAAGGGTATCAAAATTTACAAAAGAAAAGAGCTTAATATTTATATGTTTACTTTAATTAAACATTTCTTTCAATGTGAGTTGTTTGATTTGTTTTCTCTGCTAATACTTTAGACTAATACTATAGACATATAATTTCTTGTTCAGTTATTAAGTTCCATTGTTCAAGTCCTGCAAGTGCTGTAATTGCTGTGTCAAGAATTCCGAATAACTTGTCAATCAAAATTTTTTCTCGTTCAGTAACCTCTCTGTTACTTTCTTCACTATCGGTAGCTGTATTTTCTGGATTTAGAACCATACTACAGATTTCCGCCCTCCGTTAATTGATTGATGATTGGGCATTGTCATTCGCAATGAAAAACTTCTGTTTAACTTCGCTAAATTCTGCCGCCTGGTGCGGCCATGCGAGCTCTGGAGCTGGTTCTGGGGTTTATGTGAATAACAAATCAGTTATTCTTAATTCAAATAGCACTAAATATAATCGTTTGTCCTATGAGTATCATTAACAAAATCTATTTTTAGCATAAGGAAAGAAATTTCTGCTAAATCTCCCCTTGTCAACATTTTAGCGCATTAAATTTAAATCTGTAATCGGATAATACTCTGTTATTTGGCATCGCTGCATGATTCATCACTCAAGTTGTCATTCGTTGATAAACATGCGGTGATGAAAGCAAAATATAATAAATAATGATTCGCGATTTCGGCATGAAGGGTATAAAATATTAGTTGGTTTAAAATTAACAAATGTTTCGGTTTGAGATTATGCCAAGCAGATACGCAGCTATGGAGTCAAGTTACTAATCACACAAATTTATGCTAAAATAATTATTTCTTCAATAATGAGACATTTTATTTAGCACCAAACTGAGATTAAGAATCGGGATTTCCGACATGTTTTTTTATGATGAGGAAAAAAATTTAATGCGCGTGCGTAAAGCATAACTCCTTCCCTTCAAAAAAGCCCTAAAAATTGGTTGGTGGTGGCTTTGAGGTCCAGATTTTAGATCATTCCAGATATTGGATGTCCGGATCTCGGACTTTGTACTGTATATATATATATATATATATATATATATATATATATATATATATACACATCTTTCAAAATATAACTTACCAGTATGGATTCACTCTTTTAAAATAATTCTACTTTAATTAAACTTAGGAGATAATATAATCAATTAATCTATATTGTTTAGGAAATAAATTATATATATATAGTAAAAAATGTATATTTTCACTATTCAAGTATTCACTGTGACAAGTATTCTCATCTTGTCACATGAACAGGCCTCTATGGAAAGGGGCTTCTCTGTAAATAAAGCAATTGAAATTGAAAATTTAAGTGACTCATCATACATTTTTCAACGCACAGTATTTGATTACATAAAATTTTCTGGAGGTGTTCTTAATATCGAAATTAATAAAGAAATGAGATCAGCAGCAGCTTCTGCAAGAAGTGGAGTTCGTTATTTAGAAGAACAAAAGTCTTTAACTAAATCTGAAAATTCTAAGAGGAAAAGAAATATTATTGAGGAAGAAATTGATTATATGAAGCAGAAGAAAAAATTTCTTCAAAGGGACATTAAAGATATTAATGAAGAAGTAGATGCTTTAGCAGATGAAGCTGAGACCAGCAGGAACATTGATTTGTTTATCAAAGCAAATGAGCTTAGAAGAATAGTTAAAGAAAGGAAATAGACATAAATAAATTAGATGTTAAAATAGCTGAAAAGATTTCAGATTTAAAAAGAGCACAAATGTTTTGTATCTTTTATTCTCCAGTTTATTATTCTAGTATCTTAAAAAAAAAAAAAAAAAAACCAAGGAAATAAATTGTATGTTTTCAAATCAGTTATTTTAATCTGCAAAATATTCTTACATTGTGATTATAATAGTAGTTGACTGTGTTTAAATAAATATCAAATAAGTTAAATAATAATCATGTAAATCTCTAAAATAGTGACTGTTATTAGTGTAAAATACACTTATACATGTTTTTCAAGAAATTATGTTCCTCATTTAATGTTATCTACTTCATAACTTGTAGGGAGTTAGTTTAATTTTCAAAATTGTTTTATGGTAAGTATTAAATTGAATTTAATAATAGTGCATAATACACACTTCTGTTAGTTTCTTAAAGTGAAATTACAAGCATGAAGTCGGTTGTATGGATAATTGCTTTATTCTATTCATTTTTTGTTTGCTGATAGGTCCTTAATTTTTTTCTTTGATGGTCCTTAAAAGTCCTTAATTTTCATGTAAGGAAATGTGTACAAACCCTGTGGGCAATATCAGTAATATCTACTGACTTATCAAGAGCCAGTGAAAACTCTTGATGTGGCTTCCAGTAAGACTTCTAATTAAGTTGTTTTTGCTGAAACACTGACAGATCGAAACAATCTATCTTCTTCTGGGCACATTTTTTTGGCTTCCATGAGCAAACATGATTTAGTTAATTTACCATTGGCAAATTGTTTTCCTTTTGCTGCTAATAAATGAGCTGTTCATAAGCTGACTTTACTTACTGCTTCATTTTCATTTTTAATTTTTGCAAATAAATTGCATTGATGGCGTATTCTGTTTTGAATTTCCTGTTTTAATGATCATTCATTTTCTATGAGGTTTGAATACTGTGTTGGCTGATTAATTTGTTTAAGGATAATGCATATTGTACACTTTTCTTACAATGTTTAATTCTATGACAAAATCATTACCACTCCATTCTGCGTTAAAAGCATGACATTCAGGGTTTACTTTTTTCCTCTAATTTGATTTTGAGAGTGAAATGATAATAGTAGATAATCAATAAAATAAAATAAAAAGAACAGAATACTGCAGAGTACCTTGATAGACAATACCACGCACGCTGCTACAGCAAAACTGTCAACACACATGTGTGGTGCACAGTGTACAAACATTCATCTTTTGAGAGTTATTTAAAAAACAACAAATGAGACAATGGGACAGTAGTGCTACTTGTGATCTATTCACAACTTTTTAACTCAACTATCGGCTGTTGCATAAAAGTGTGTAATTTGATTTACTTGTAAAAAACATCATCTTGCATGCCATTGTTTGCCAGCCTTTAATATCAAATATAAGCTTTTGAGTATCAAATATAATTTAAATTTAATTTAAATACTGTGTTTATGCATAAATTTAAAATTATTATACTATTAAATGACCAAAACAACTATGCTTTATGCCAAATAATGTTTTTGGTTTAGCAGCATGCTATTCAAGTAATCTTAACTTTCATTTGCAATGAATTTTAAGGAAAATGTTACCTTTCTTTGATTAAAAACACCTTACCATCAAGTTGTACTTTTTATCTATGTATCTATGAAGCTGAAAAGTTTATCATTTGAAAAATCACATGCATCTTCCCCCTTTTTTTATTTGATTTCTTTAACCATTATTCTTAGATATAATAGTATGCCAAATAAGAATTTTTGGAGGTGCTAAGGCAACAAGAATTGGTATTCGTAAATTTGCAGGACTAGTTTTGAATGCTTAAATGTAGAGCCTTCTTCCTCAGAAGTGCAGATGATTGCAAATACACTTCTGCAAGTGATGAAGAAGTGTATATACTTAAGCCTTCAAAACTAGTCCTGCAAATTTATAAACATTACATTAATTCTTGTGCCTTATCACCCCCCAATAACTTCCATTATTCATTATATATCAAGTATAGTGTATTTCTTATTACAAATAATTTTTGTATAGCTAGTGCTTAAACTTGAATCATACGGTTATTTTGGTATTATCTGTACTATTCAGTTGTTATATGTGCTGTTCAAAGTAAAAGGACTAATCTGTTTAAAAATAGGTCAATGAAACCTCCCTACTTGGTGCTACATATCAAGAAGCCATAACAGCTATGCGCACAGCTTGTGATACTGTCCGTTTAATTGTCTGTGATGGGTACAATCTGTCAGAATCCGAAAGAGTAGGAGAGAAATCTGAAAATATGAAGGCCTCTCTATCTTCATCGTCCATTGATAAAGAGGATGAAATGATGAATGTTTTTAGGCAGGTCTGTATTAATGAAATTAATTTTGTTTTAAATTTGAATTTAGCTATTGCTGTTCAAATTACAAAATGATACTAAGTGAAATTATATGTTTCATCCGTGTGTGCTCTGTAAAACTGCTAAAGGTATATGCCCTGTAAAACTGCTAAAGGGGTATGCCATTAGTATAGTAAGCTGTTTTCAGAAGATGTATTTTTTTTAAATAATATACTAATTTTTGTTGTTCTCTTTCCTGCATGATTATGTAAAGATATTAATTTTGAAAGACACAATCCAGAAAAATTATTATAAGTAATTTAAAATAAAAAAGGAGGTAGCCAAATTAAAATGGGGAGTTAAAAGTATTACTTAAAGTTAATAATTTTGAGCTGCATTTATATATATATATATATCTTCGAAAACAGCAACATCTAGCCAAATTGTCTAAAACTAAATAAGACCTTTAAAAACCAAACAGAAATAGTTTATCTTGATCTAAGTATTCATAAACTAAATGAAATTAAACTTTTTTATAAATGAAAAGATTTTAATTTTTCTACTAATAAACTCATTAATTGGAATTCTAACATATCTAAAAGTTATTGCAAATACTATTTTTAACCAAATTAGTGGAATTAAAAAAGTTTACACTGAAATAGAAACACAAAAAGAAGGAATTCTAATTCTCACCAAAATTTTAAAAGATAATGAAATTCCTTTAAAATTCATTAATAGTATATTAAACAAATCTGGAGTAGTCTACACCCTATAATACTTTTTAAAAGTATGAATTTTTTATCTGAAAACTCCAAAAGAGAAGGATAAAGGAGGATGTTTTAAAGGGTATATAGGATTTTTTTTTTTTTTTTTTTTAATTACTATTCTGTTACTAACCACAACCTTATATATATTCAAAGTTGTCATGAGAAGCCCATGACGTGAAGACTTTTTACTTTTCTAATATAGTTCTTTTACTTCCTTTTTGAACTTTTTTCTGTACTTTTAAATTACAAAATTTAAAAACTCAAATTCAACTGTATAGATTTTTTACTCATCTCTACATAACAAGTAATATACAAATATTAAACATTTTCATTAACTTATGAATAATTTCTCTGTTCTTAAAGGCTGTTTTGTGTATTTTTTAAATTTAAAGACTAAAATTTGTTATTAAATATGAAATTTCTTTTTTAAATGAATTTGCAAAAATATATATGAGACCATATACAGTACAAAATCTGAAATCTGAATGTCCATCATTTGGAAAGATCTAAAATCTGTACTTCCTAACCACCAGCAACTTTAGAAATATATCGTGTGTGTGTGTTTTACGCATGCATATTTGATATTTTTTGCATGATAAACATGTGGAGAGCGCTGATTCTTAATTTCACTTTATTAAATAAAATATCTCTGTATTGAAGAAAGAGTCATTTATTAGCAAAAAACTGTATGATGAATAATTTTGCTCCGTAGCCAGCTTTAGAAAAGACTTCTGCAGGAATGTATAAACTTTTTTTTATAAGATATCACTAATTGAGACCATTGTACACTTTTGTATGAACATTTTTATGTGATGATTACAGACTTAGCTTTGTAAAGGGGTAAATGTGTTGACAAGGCAAACTTTAATAGAAATTTCTTTTCATTTGCAAAAAATAGATTTTATAAATGATACTCATAGGCCAAAAGATTACACTCCTAGGGAGTTCAGATAAGCCCAGGCAAAATATGGGAAGAGAAAAATTTTTAGAATTTATAGAAGGACCAAGTGACAGATTTAAGGGATAACAAAATCTGAAGTATTGGAGAAAGCGCTGGAATGCAGAATTTTTAGAAGACTACACCTTGCTGTAAAATGTCTGCTGCCAGGCCTCGATAAGCTGTATGAGGAGGTTATTTGTTCTGGACTCAATTCTAGTAGAACAACATGTCCATAATTGCCAGTTTCATGATATATTGCTAGTAGTGTGTAGCAGACAGTAGCTAAGCTTTATGATGACAGCCACGAATTTGAAAGTTTTTGGATATCACAAACAAAGCACAAAGTTTTCCAATTAAAAGAAATTGTGAAGAAATGTAGAAAAGTGGTAATAAATAAAGATAGTGTAACTGAAGGGCATGCAGCAAAAAGGGCCCACATCTTTAAATTTTAGGAAAATTTAAAAAAAGTTTCGAAAATTCATTTTTTTAAAATTTATGTTCTAAGTGGTTATCCTCGTTAAAAGGGCTAGTAAAAATTATTTTTTACACCTACTGCAGTGGCTTTTTACTCCAACGCAAAGAATGAATTTTTTTAAAAAACAAAAAGTCCCATGAACCTAAAATTTACCAAAGTGGAACTGGGCGCTTCTAGCTTCAAGCCCTTCAGTTTTTTTATTGTGATTACAGTGGCCCCATCATCAATCATAAATGTATGGACAGCAAAATCTGTAGTATGGTTCTAAATTCAGGAAATATTGCTGCCAACAATGAAGAAAGTAACAGAGATGTTTATTGACAACCAAACAATTTCAATTGACAATTTAGGGGGAATTCTTGACACAATTAAGAGGACTTGAATAGTGGAATTTTGTAAGTGAGCAAGAAATTATGTGAAGTAGCTAAAATATCTTGCACTGTAAGAAATGTTTAATAAAATAAACTAGTAAATATTGAGCTGCCCTCCCCACTTTTTTTGCTTGTTGTTGTTGTTGTTAAGTTTGATTTCCTTAAAGTCATTATTTCATAAAACACTCTCTCATATTTTTAATTTTATACTTCCTACATGTCATCGTATTAGATTTAAACTGAAAAATACCAAATTTGAATCGCTGAAGTCCCAACAAGCCTTGATCTCGGACATTATACTCTAAGAAAAAATGCATTGCAAAAGTGAAAAATATATAAATGGTTAAAAATTGTTTTATTCTGTGGTAAATTATTTTATTTTCTTGGAAAGTTTTTTTTTTATTTGTTTGTATGAGTGTGTGAATACATGCGTGCATGAATGTTATTTATTAATTTGATGTGAATATTATGATTTAGCATTCTTGATAATGATCTTAATTTTGGTTTAAAAATGGCATAGAAAAAGCTACTTTTAAGGAGTGTAATGCCTTTTTTATATTTTCTTTTGGGTTTTAATTATTTTTTTAGGGAGAAAGGGTATGAAAATTTTTTAGATGAAATTATTTATGTGTGTTGATTTGTATTTCTGCTGAAGAATATTAAGAGTTTAATGTTGGATAACTAACTACTGCATATTTAAAAGATGTCTGCAATTTAGAAATTATTTTTAAAAAAATTAATGCATATTTAGTTACACCTTTTATCCCAATATTATAGCTTTTGAAATTTGAGGTAAGGGTATATGGAAACTTACAGTTTATATAATGGGATTTTTGTACTTTTTTGCCACTATGGTCCATCTAAATTTTATTTTATTTTAATTGAAATATACGTTTAATATAGGAGCAAGAAGTATTAAAAGAAACTGCCTTGTGGGAAAAAGAAGACCTGGAAAAAATGGTATGCTTTATACTTAGTCTTTTTATAGTTTGAGACAATGAGAAAATTTTAATATAATTATAATTTTACAATAAAGTATAATTTTGCAGGAGCAATTACGTGAAAAAACTGATGGATTAACTTTTACTGAGCAGCAAATTCAGCCATCTACAGTAGACAGTGATGTCAATTTTAACATCATTTCTGTTGATGTAAGAAATTAAAATTTAATAATGATACATATTTATTAAATAGTATTTATATTGATGAAGTTATTTTTATCATCTATCATCTATTTCAGGAAAATAAAATTGAAAAAGAAGATGTAAATATTAATTTGGATCAAACTATGTTCAGCACTCCATTTAAGAATGATTTTGTATCTCCAAATGATAATCAGGTAATTAAAAGCATGTTAGGATTAATGTATTGAATTAAGTGATTTCTTTCAGTATATCATTAAAAAATGCAGGGTTATTACCAATCTATAAAAATCGTATATGAAAGGATTAAGTTTTTTTCGTTTCATAGGAGTTTAGAGCTCTCTATAAAATGTGCCTTTAATTGTTGTTGTAAACTTTTTTCGTCCTTTTTTGGAAGTGTTAGCACCAAGGAAAGATGCTGGATAATGGTTAAATGATAATATTGAAACATGAGATTTCATCCACAAATATATAGTGAAATATTAAAAAGGTGTGCACAAGTGAATTTGCGTATTCTGAAGAAAACTTTAATTCTTCCAGTAGTTATAAAAACTTTTATTCAATGGCTGAAGTGTCTGTCCTTCTCTTGGTAATGCAGAAATTTGTCAGTTTCACCATCATTGGGATTTGTTACCTTTTAATATTGTTGCATACTAGAGGTTTTCCAAAATCAAATTTAATTAATAAATACCAAGTCCTGGTGATGATGCATCATTATTTCCCACATTTTTGTTCAGGTGGTTTGAAATTATTTTGAAGCTGGGAAACATGAAAAATCAGCAATGCCCTCATCGAACCTCGAGTTTCAGATTTCATGGGACTAGTAGCATGTGCTCCCAATTACATCATAAAGACACAGAGTAAGGAAGGAGATAATTCCTTACATACTTTACAGTAAAGGTTCTAAAACTCTGTTGCGCTTAGAACGGCTATAGAAAAAGTTGGGATTTCTTCATTTGACTAGAATTACCATACATCTTCCATTTTCTCGGCATATCCTTATTTCCAGTGATTAAATTAACTTCCAAGTGCAATTTTCAAAATTAAACTAATGTCTGTAAATTGGACCTGTAGGTTTAATGTTTTGAAATGAGTGTAAACAAAATCATTGTAAAGAACAAAAGCTTTAGAGCCAATGTACAAGAGCTGGTTGGTGTAAATATTAGGAAGAGAATAAACACTTTTCCCAAAAGTCTAGTCAGTGATTGTTTAGAATACTTCAGTATGTGGCCTAAACCATTTAAGAAGTTTCTTTTTTCATATGGATGAAATTTGAAAACTTCTCATGTACAGAAATTGAATCATCCAGCACAGACATGCAAGATAATGAAAAAATAATGAGTATTGATGACACTGATTCTATAATAAAGTAATTTGTAATTATGTACTTATGTAATTATGTACTTAGCATTGTTTTGTAAACAATAGTAGTAGCTCAATAAACTATGGATGAGTAGCTCAAAAATCTAAAACTTCAAAATTTTATTTTGTTCTCCAAAAAATTACACACTTGCCCTTCATTCTTCTCCATAGTGCTAGAGTTAAAAGACTATTTTCTTTGATTCAGATACTTGGTGCAAGAGTAGTTGAAGCCATATGAATTACAACTTTGAAAATTCACTTGTGTAGTATTCCATTCATACTTGTTAAAACTATGGAGGTAGGAAGTAAGAGGAAAGGCCATAATTGGTTTTCTCCATGCATTGCCTTGAAGCAGTGGCTCACCTCTCGTGGAGACCAAAACATTCAGTAACTTGCCATTTAAGGTCAATGGGTTTTGACATAATCGGTGGTAAACATTTGGCAATTACATTATAAAGATACATATAAATGTACGTAATTTCTTTTTTGACAGTATTTTAGAGTCCTAAGTATGTGAAAAGAATATATTTTTAAAGAACAATTCATTCTGATATGGAATTAAATGCTATATTTTATCCAAAGCAGTTTGCTCAGAACCGTTTAATTTGAATGAAATATTTTCAGAAGTTTTGATTAATTACATCAGAAAGAAATTTTAAGGCAATTCAGTTTTATTCAGTTATTGATTACAAAAATTAAGATCAAAGTTTATTGTATTATTAATATTAAAATTACGCATTATTTCTTTCCTATTTGCAGAGCTTCTTTCTGAAAAACTTTCTCAAATATGAGATGATTTTTTAGCTTCTGAGGTATCCTTTAAATAAAAAAATTAGAGTCATTTTATAATTAATGCTCTGGTTCATTTCAAATTAGAGCATCTTTTATTGTAATCGTGAAATGCGTTAAATATTGCTGCTGATTTTCAAGTACTTAACTCTCTCTGAATATTTCTGAAAGGGAAATTAATTTGTTTTAATAATATTTAAAACTTGTAAATAAGTTATTATAAAATGTAAGGAAATAATTCTTTTAATACTTATTGAATTTTTTTTACCCTCAATTTCAACAATACATATTCTAAAAATTCTTTTTTACTACTTTCTTAAGTACGCATCTCATATACTTGGCTTTACAACCCCTTTTTAACAGCTTGCTTTCCTGTACGAACAAATCTTGCTTAAAAAGTTTTATAAACAAATTTGTTAACTGAATTTCAATTTATGTTTACAATTAAATTTTAAGTTTGTAGAGTCATTAGGTTGCTTTGGAGCAGGAGATGACATGAAAAATGAGTAATGCCCTCGCAGGGATTTAAACCTGGACCACTCGACTACATGCTGAGTGCTGCTGTTATTATAAATAATATAATAAATATTTATGCATTTTGTTAACGCAAATACACACTTTTTACAAAGATATTAATATATTTCATTATATATATAATATTTCTCATTTTCATAAAAATAAAATTATTAGTTTAAAATGAGCAACCGTTAAGCCTCTCCCTTAAAACTTTTTTTAAATGTACATGTTACAGTATTATGTAGATGATAAAAATGTCCTTTATTTAAAACATTTTGATATTTGGAACATAAAAGTAGTGAATACTCTGTCAAGGGTATCGAAAGAGGTATATAATTTTAAAGTTACCGTAAGGTATTTTTCATTTTTTATGCAAAACATTTTTGCTAAAATCTATATTTTTGTAGTCCAGTAGCATAAAATTTTATAAAACAAATTTATAATCAAAATCGCTATTACAAGTTATAAAAAAATAGTAAAGATATGATTTTCGCGTAAATGCCTTTAAACTATACAAATTGCTATTATCCATTTGACAGTGAATGTATTTTTTTATGCGGAAGTATCCCCGCTTTTCAATTTTTATAGAACTGTCATGTGTGAAAATACTGTCAAAGTGCTGCCAAGGATGCTCTGGATATAAACCAAAAGCATCCCAGCTGGAGAATCGGTGCCTGGGAGCACTAATTCAGTCATGGTGCTGGGCTGGCCCCTTCTTTTATTCTTATTTCCATGGTTAAAACATCTTAATATAACAAAGCAAATCAGATAACAAATTTGTATTCATGGGTTGTTTAAGTGAACTTACTTCTATTGGACCACAAGTGGCTAAAATTCAAATGTGGAGTTCAGTGGTGTACTTTCGTGTGTATTTCTATATGCATAATCAAATTATAATATTTTTGAAAATGGATATTTAAATATGCAGCATTTTAACAATTTTAATTGCTTGGAATCTTAACAACTTTTGCTGATTGTTTGAATTTATATTGTAAAATATTATTTAAAGTTTGGTAATGTCTGGCTGTCTTCTTGTTTGCATTCCAGGATTTCATAACCCTGCATTTGGCCTGTCTAAAAGAACAAACATAAATAATGAAATTTTTCCTTTAAAATTTATGGTGTCAAATTAAGTGTAAACTTTCACAACTATTTAGAAATTCAATATTTCTGAATTAATTTTAAAAAACTGACAGTAAAATTAAAATATTTTTTTATATATTTGGAAGACAGAAATGTATTTGTTTCATAGGTATTATGAATTCATTTTGTAATGATGTACCCTTTTTTTTGCTTGAACTAATATTTTCTAGCTGATAGTGTGTCAAAATCTTGGATATATATTTACTGATATGTTTCATTTATATGAAATCCTTAATTCATGTATGAAGATCTATCTATATATGCCTATGCCCTGTTTCAGAGAGATGAAATGCCTTCACCTATTAATTTTAATGCTGAAGATTCTAATCTTACTGTCAGCACTGACGAATCAATGGTTGATCCTATTCAAAGGGCAAAGCTGCCAGGTGCCAAACCTGTCCTGCCAAAAATATCAAAAGTGAGTTGCTGTTCATAAATCATATGTGTGTTAAATTCATTGAACATATTTGAGATTAATTTTAGGGAAATTGAAACATTAAAAAAAATTTAGTAGCATAATAAAGAAATATTTTTAAACATATAAGAATACTACAGATAGTCTAAAAAACTTACCCTTTTTTTCTCTGACCTCTCAAAAATGGGCATTTGTTTGTAGTTTCTATATAGTGCTATGATATATTACATCTCTTTGCTAACAGCTGTGGTATATTTCAGTTTCTTAATATAAGAGTAATGAGCTAGGTGTTGGAAGTTGTATTTCAATTCGTCTAGATATATTTCAGGAACACAAAAAAAAGGGGCCGTTACTGTCATTTTTTATATTTGAAAGTGAGTAATTATTTAATGGCTATATTTCTGTGTTTCTAACTTTTCTTTACATCTAAAGCATGTTGTACAGTCCAAGATCTCCATTTCATGAAAAAATTTGATACTCAACATTAATTTTAGTAATAATGGGAATTTGTATCATATAAGTTTTAGGTTATCTGCAACACATTTGACTGAACTTTAACGCAATTTTCTTCTTCATTTTCTGGTGGGCTGCTGAAATGATATAATATTTCTTTAAAAATAAAATGAGCAATAGGAGAAATATTTTGCTTTTCATTTTTGTTCATGTAATAATGAGAAGAGATTAAATAATAAATTGTTTAAACAATAATGTATATATTAATTTGTTAAAAGAATAAATTTGATATGGTAATCATGTAAGTAAATTCTTGAAATTGTGCTTATCCAGTGATTCTGAATTATTGTTATAGTCCTCAGATAATAGAGTGTATTACTATTAGTAAAAAGAACTTTTTTTTAACTACCAAGATGAATTGTTATTTATTCTGAATGGAAATATTTTCTTTGGAGAAAAATTTTACTCATTCATTCAAATTTGTACAAAAATTATGCAATATTATGCATGTTTGTGTAATTTTTCAAATATTTAAATGTATTCTGTAAAATTTCTTTTAGAAGAATTTATAAAATATTTTTGTTTGAAAAAGGTGCCTGTTCCAAAAATTGCTGATCCAGAACAGTTGACATTCAGTGAGAAAAAAAGGAGATTTGAACTAGTTACAAAACAAGAAGATGCAGCTAGTACTGATGTAAAGCATTTTAGTTATTTTACTCCAGTTGAGCTGGAAAGGATGAGAGAAGAAGAAGGTATAAATAAAAAATAAATTATGCCTAATTCTGTGAATAGTAAAGCTATACTCTTCATGAGATTTATGGCATAGTATTGGTTATATATCTATTATTTTCTGTTGTGAATAAGAAATCATCAAATATTAATGTAAAATATTTTGTAATATCTATATTTTGCAAAGAGTATAAGCAGCTTTCAAAAGAGGTAGCTATGCGTATAATATTTCATTAAAGTCTGTAAGAAATTCTGACATGAAATATTTTTCACATGATTAATTTGAAATAGTTGCATTAGTTAGGCTTTGCATCATTTTTTGTTGCATACTTGAATTATGCTAAAAAGGGAAACAATCTGTTATTCCTTAATTAGATGTCCTAATCATCATATAATCCTTCTTTATTGGCAGAATCTTTGTAATCCTTTTGTTAGTATAGATAATGATGATGACAGTTTATGGTAGTTGCTATGGCAGTTTTTTAAGTAAAACTGCTATGAAATATTGGATCAGTTATTAACTCTTTTTTTGGGGGGAAGGAGGATTTCTTCAAAGCATGTGACACTTTAGTTAGCATTTGTTTAACTGTTGAATTTCTTTAAGATAAGGGGGAAATTTTTCTTTTGCCCCTTTTATATTAGTTACAAATTTTACCAATTCTGCATTGTTTAGTTTTAATTCTGCCCATTAATAAGATCGGAATTTGGTCTTTAGGTGCATGAAATAAACAAATTCTTCAAGAAATGATAGTATGCTTTGTGAGTTTGGTTAAATATACGACAGACTTTAAAACTTTTTTTCTCATTTAATAACTGCAAATTTTCTTCCTGAAAAACAAACATTTTCATTTTTTTCATCAATAATCATCTTTTGGCTCTAAGCTGTTTCATTTTTATTTTGCTAAAAATTATTTGTAAAACTCTTCCGTATAGTGGCTTAGATTTTCTTGAACCCTCAACATCTGTTAAAAATCTTCCGCTTTCAATAAATATTAATTCCAGTTCTCTCTCTCTATGCAAGAATATTTATCTGCCTTATCTCAAAGAACATCTACCTAACTTCCCCCCTATTTTTTTCCCTTTTCTTTTACCTTTATATAGAGTTAAATATTTTATTATAACCAATGTGTTTGTGCAGGGACAGTAAATCCCTGCTCTTAAAATGCATTAAGCTTATACATTTGAAATTAATGTTGAACAGTAGTAAATTTTGCCCCTTCCTTAGGAAAAAAATAATTGAAGTACTTCCTTTAAATTTTGACCAACTTAATTTATAAGTTGCTAATCAACTTGAAAATAATTCATTAGAACTATAGTGAACAAAACAGTAAAAAAAAAAAAAAAAAAAAAAAAAAACTTGTATATACTCTTATATAAACTTAAACTCTTGATTGTATAAAGTATTTTATAAATAATTTATTTTCTTTCTTATAATTTAAATTGTTCTTCAAATATTAATATTTAAATGCTTCCTTCTGTATTTTGTTTATATATCCTCTTTCTTTTCTCTTTCTTATTTCTTTTTGAACATAATTCTTTTACTTTTTAAAGATTCATGATGTGATTAAAAAATATTAAAACAAAGCATTTCTGCTTAAACCATATAAAATAGTTTTTAATTTAATTGTCTTTAATTTGACTTCCTTGCCTTTTTTGTAGTCTTTATAATCTGTATTCCAATACATATAAGTATGAATGGCTCTCTGATTCATCATCATCTTATTTATTTAAGAGAAAAAACTTGCCTCAATGACTGAAGAAGAATTAAAAGACTATCATTCTGTTGAAGAAGAAGAGTACGATGACATCGTAAATCATGACATTATTTTATTTAATGCTCCAAATTCCACTGCTGATGATGTCACTTACTCTAGGTATGTAAATCAATACATTTGTAAGTTTTTAAACTTGTATTAAAACTTTTTGAAATTTGATTTGGATGTCATTATGATGAAATTATTTGATTTCTTAGTCCATTTAAAGTGAAATAAAAAGAGAAATATTAATTAATTTTGATGTCAAGTTTATGTGATCCATGAATGTTCTATCAAAATAAAATATGTGAATTTTTTTCCATCATTTCCAGTGTTACAACTGAACAGATAAGTAAAATACCTGTTCGAACAGCTAAAGCAGAGCGCAGGTTAAAAGAAAAACTCAACCAGAGCTCAGAGGAAGAAAGCAATCTCACCCCAGCACAGCAGAGAGCCCTGCATGCTGAAAAACGAGCAGCTTGGAGGCAGGCTAGGTAAATATAATTTGCTTCTCATAAATATTTTTATTTCAAGTAATGGTGTTATATTGCTTGTTAAATTTCAAAATATAATTAGGTAAATACTTTGTGTGAGTGGCATAAATTTTTTAATCTTCTTGTTAGTATGTTGTGATTGTTAGGCAATGAAAATTTTTAAGATATTTTTTTTTAAACTGGAAACATGTAAGTTTTCAGATAACTGATTGAAAATTGCTTCTTAAAAATCTGTTTTAAGTTTTTCTTATATTTTAATAAAAAGAATGGAGGTTTGCTTCATTGAAGGGGAAAATGTCGCAGCAGTTATATTTTTTATTATGTGCACAGTATTTTTATGCCTTTTAATGCAAGAAAATGAAAATGTGCAGTTGTGACTATGTTGTTGCATCAAAAATTAGCATATACAAATAAGGCTGTGGTTATATTGTTGTGTGTGTGCGGGCACATGGTTGATTGAATGCACGCAGCTTCAATTATAGGTCGATAAAATTTATATTATCAAAAGAAACACTTCAGAGTTCTGGAACTCTGAACAAAAATAGTCATACAACTCTTCACAATATCACAAAGTATAATCAGTAGCTACACTTCGAACTACTATTGACGTTAAACACAATACAAAGCACATCTAAAAAGCCAAGTCAGAACTATATATATATCTATATATACATAATTATATATATATATATATATCTCCCTAAGTTTTCGCCCAGCCACCAAGATATTCCTAATACTTTCTGCTTCTTGAAATTACTGGAAGGCATTTACAGTGATTACATTACAGCCATTGCATATACACGGAACATTAATTACAATTATTCATTTACAATATCCATTACAGTTATACGGGGGCCGGACCAAATGGATGACAAAAATTAGTTGGCAAATCTGTTGCAGCTTGGGGATATCTCACCAATTTAGCAAGGTAGCCATGTACTCAAATTAGACTTGCCCCTTTATTTTTATTTTCCAGCAAGCTTAGCTTCTCTGTAGATTTTTCATGCTACATTATGTGGGAAAATAAACAATTTCACTAAAACAATCTGTGTACAAAATTTGTAACAATATTTATTGATAATTGGTGTATGTGTGCCATATGTATTGTTGCATGTATGCCTAAGTTACATGTTTGATCACTTTCTGATTATTTTCATTTTTTAAGTATTCAGTGTATTTGATATATATAGCTTTTTATTTTTAGCATTGTAGGCAAAAAATAAAACTGATACATTTCATAGTTTGCATTCATGGTTAAGATATTTCCAAATGTGTATTGTTGCTGTGTTATTCACTAATTAGTTGTCCAAAGGAGCAGTTTGCCCAGAAGGACTATTAACTTTGTTTTGGCATTTTGCATTGAAATGTTGGTTCACTTTTGTTGCTACCAAATATTATTACCCTGTATTATATTTAAAGAAATTAAATAATGAAGAATCTGCATAAATGTATGTATGTTTCTCTCATTGTGATAAAACAATGGTATTTGAAGTTATCAAATTTTGAATCACACACATTTCTGCCTGAATTTGGGATATGTTTCATTATCTATTTCATATTTTATAAAACTTTAACAAATTTTTTATTGACAAACTCGACAATTTCAAAGCAAGCAGTGGCAACACTGTACGGAAAAAAACATTTTAATCTCTAGCACGCAATACTGTGTATCAGAAATTTTAAAATTATTTTGCAGTATTTGCTGTTGAACTGAATTTTATGGTTTAAGTGCGAAGAACATTATATTTAATTAATAAAGGCAACTCACAAAACATTTAAAAAAAAAAACTTTGGGCATAATGTAAAATCTCAAAGCTTTCATATTTTTTTTAATTTAATTTATTTAAATGTATTTCATTTAGAATTATACAGATATTTAGTATTTAGTGAAAAGTAGAAGTTTTTTATAATTTTTTAAATCTGTAATATTATTTACATGTACGGTGACTTAAGTTATAAAAGGGTTTTCAGCAGAACATAACTGAAGCATATTGTAATAGTATATATTCAGTGTCTGGTATTATGTCCATTACACAAGTGAGATTTCTTTCTCATGTGCGTAAAAATGTCGACCATTACTGAATGTGTACGTATGAGGTCTTGCAACACTCATCATGGTACATATGAATATTGCTGATAGTATTGCTTAGATTTTTTTCACAGATGTTCTCCTTGGTCTGCAATAATGCCAGAGAGTGATTTTGTTATGTTCCTAAAAGAAAATATCTGGTGTTGTTAAATCTATTGAATTTGGAGACCAATGAATGACTGGCCAGAGCATAAACTTATGAACATTTGTTTCTTCTTTGGATACTTTCTTGTACATGTTCAATTATTCAGTCTACTGGAAAATTCTGTCCGTTTTTGGAATAAAACAAAATACAAATTTTTCTTACTGTCAATAAACTTTACTGAATAATATAATTGCCATTATTGTTAATGACTTCTTGCCAGCATGAGGGCAATCCCATTTTTGAAAAATGTTGTATCTTTTGATGCAGAAAATTGAACCAGTGCTTGTTTGATATCTTCATTTTTGAATTTTTTTGCCCTTCAAAAAATTTCTTACGTACAAAAACAAGTGATAGTCAGAGTTTGCTAAGTCCAGGGAATATACACAGCATTGCGTGCAAGAGATGGATGTGACAGATTTTCCCAGCCTAGCTCTGGAATTTTTTGGTGTCCCCAAATAGCATGTGGCTGGCATTATCAAGATGCAGTATGATGTCTTTCCTTCTGAACATCACTGGCCTCTTTTCTTGGACTGCTGTCTTTAAATTATCAAGTTGCTGACAATACTTCTCTGAATAGAGCTTTTCATTCAGTTTTAAAAGCTCGTAATGTATTTATCCTCGAATGCCCCACCATATGCACAACATTCTCTTATTTGGTTTAGAGGTTGAACAGCTAGTTGAACAGTTTTCCGGGCTCACAATATGTCCTTTTCCTTGCAATGATTTCGTAGGTAATCCTCTTTTCATCCCCAGTTATCATGCCGTTCAAGAAGGGCTCGATTTTGTTCCCAGCAAGCAGAGATGTGCATATACTCCATCATCCAAATTCAAAATTTAATTCATGTGGCACCCATCTTAAATATTTCCACACCAATCCTATCTTCCGCATATTGTTCGAAATGGTTTGCTGAATTGAATTAAGCCTTTCCGCAATCTCTGATGTTGTTGGAAAAGATCTTGCTCCAGCATGGTCTTAACAACCTCATCGTCGATCAAAGATGGTAACCCAGAACGTGCTTATCAGAAAGGTCGAAATCAACTGTTTCAAATTTTTCAAACCATCTTCTGCATGTCCTATCAGAAACTGTACCTTCAACAAACACTTTCAGTATGTTTCTACATCCTTCTGTAGCATTTCTTCCTTGTTGAAATTCATATAAAATACAGTGGCGTAAATGAACTTTATCAGTACCCATGGGTGCATACTTAAGACTGATAATTCACACTTAAGACTAATGTAAGTCAACTTTCTTTTAGTTAATTTGCTATGTCACTATGTATATATTAAGAGACAAAAATTAACATGTGCTTACGTTATTAAAAATTGTTGTTATAGAAATGGACAGAACTTTCCGATAGATCGAATATTTCCTGTGCTTGGGCTCAGCATTGTCCCTTCAAATCATGGCAAATCAGTTACAATAATTTTCTGCATAAATTCCATTTTTAGAAATTTCTAGAAAATTTTTTCTAGGGGGAAAAATCCTTCCCCCATCCTACAAAAAGAGAAATCCAACAATGCATTCCTGATATTAAAACATCAGTGATAGGTTCTTTGAATCAAGATTAAATGACTTCTGTTTTTCAAAACAAAGTTCAACACTCTTCTCTTCTCTCTCTCTCTTTTTATTTATTTTGTGTGTGAATTTTTTTATGCCATTGTTTTCCAGACATCTTATTCATGTAGTTTAAAAAGTATACAGTTAAGAAAGGATAATTAATATTTTTTGCTTATTTCTGTTTCTAAGGTAACAAATAAATTGATAGTCTATATTATCAGACTTATTAATACTAGTATGTATGGTATATATTTTACAATTTCTTCATGTTCTGCCCCACCCTTTCCATTTTGTGTTCCTGCTGAATTCAAATTACATGCCTGTAATTTTATAAAGTATTACTTATGTTTTTATATGCATGCAGTTGATAAAAATTTATTTTGAGATTATTTGTCCATTTCCATATAATGCTTCATTCGAGTTTTTATTTAGTAAATTGTTAAGTGAAATTTTTAATATCGGATAATTATGAGTTGCAAATAAAGAACAGACTACAGTCAAACGTCGTTAATCCGGACTCATCGGGACTTCGGCGATTCCGGATTATCGATTTTTCCGGATTATAGATCATCAGTTTAAATCTCGTAAGATGGCATGCAGAAATTCTAAAATTAAAAATATGAAACCGTAATTTATGAAATAAAGAACAATTTTAATCTAAAGGGTATCAAAATTCGCAAAAAGAAAAAGCTTTATATTTATTTGTTTACTTTATTAAACATTTCTTTTAATGTCAGTTGTTTAAGTTTTGCTTCATTTCATGTGATAATACTTTCTCTTTAATTCTATTAAACAGACATAATTTCTTGTTCAGTTACAAAGTTCCGCTGTTCAAGTCCTATAATTGCTGTGTCGAGAACACAGACTAATTTGTCAATCGAAATTTTTTCGTTTTCACTAACCTCTGTTACTTTCTTCGCTATCGGAAACGAATTATAATGACGAGGAACTTGTTTTAAATCATATCAAAGACGGAGCACATTGAGATGAAATACTAATTTGGTAAGGAATTATAAGCCAAATAAAATAAAAACATCTGCTCTGAAGATAAGGATAGTGCTGACAGATCAACTTCCAATTCATTACGCGCCCGCAGCGGCGTTCCCCCCGCCGAGCAGCGTGAAATTGATATAAACAGATTTCGGATTTTCAAAACATAATTTCGCTTTAGATCCTTTACATATTAACAAATATATATCGGAAATTCTATTTGATATAATCGAAAGTTTAAGGTTACTTTTATAAAATTGCTCTTACAGTCTGCAAAAAATAATAAGCCGGATCCAATTCGAAAATTACAGAACAACGCAATCATCAACATTAACTGAAATAGATAATTAGATAATTTTAGCTTATACGTCCATTATACCTAAAACGCGAACGCGAAAACGTATTCTGCACTTGCGCACACTCATATGCGCAGTCGTAAAAGGTCTTACGCCAACGCGGCGCATGCGCAGAAAGTTTTTAATTTTGAGGTCCGGATTATAGATCATTCCGAATTATGGGTGTCCAAATTAACGACTTTTGACTGTATTATTTTTTCTGGAAATGGATTATAAAATGTTTTGTTTTAAAAATTCCTGTATTGAATATTTGCAGGTTTATCAGTTGAAATTAAAATTCCCTCCTCCCTTTAAGCATCACAGCTTAATTATCTCTCATATAAAATCATTAGGTTTTCTTACTGTATAGCACATTAACATCATATAGTTTTAAATTGATCTATTTTATTGTACCTTCTTCATAAAATATATTTAGTAATCGAGTACACAATGTGAAATGTTCAAATTATTTTTTAAATGGAAATATATTTCAAATTTATTTTTAAATGCTACTGAATTACATATTACTGAGAACTGAACTTATTTATCTTTATGTCAAATAGAGTATGATAGAATATTACTTGATTATGTATCCTCTAGTTATTGCTATTCATTCGTAATGATATTGTATTTATTAATCATAAAAACTGGTTCAAGTAATTTTAAGTATCATAATTTGTTATAAGCATAAAAAGTAAAATTTTTAAGCTATTTATTTCAGTATAATTTATCATCTGTAAATACTGAATTTCAAAGACAATTGGCATAAAATGGATATTATTAAAATGTATTCTTCAGAAGATTATTTCTGTTCCTCTTTTAACATTTTTTTAAAGATTTCTCTGTTTACTCTTTTCTTGTTTGCTTGGCTTTCGCTAATATTTATTTTATTAATTTATGTAGGGTGACTCTGAAAAAATGGGGAAAACTTTACGGGTGACAGAACACAGTTATACAAACAATATTTGTCATAGAAAATTTCGACGAAATGCAAATAGTGACCCGCTAGGTGGTTGTAAATGGTATAAAAAGGGTCAGTCCGACGGCATTTTCTATCCTGTGTTGCCGAGAGGATGGCTGGCTATATAAACTATGGAATTTCCAGGTTGGTGGATTGGTCAAAATGGTCCCATCGATTGGCTATCAAGATCATTGGATCTCTTGTGTATTAGACTTTTTCATGTGGGTCCATATGAAAAGCCTAATGTACGAGTGCCCTGTTGAAATCAATATGGGTATAATCGCCATGATCACCATTGTTGCTGAATATCAATTCTGGAAATGCCTGGTGTCTTCGCAAATGTGTGTCAGTCCCTGTCCCATAGGTCTAAAGATTAAAACCACCTTTTAACTTCTCACTGCTTGCATTCTGACCATATGTTATATGACAAATATTGATTGTATACCTGTGTTTTATCCCCCCTATAACTTTTAATAGATTAAACCTGGAAATCTTTTAAAATTTCCATGAGTACTTATGACTAAGTTGTCACTTAGTTAAGTTGTTATTGTGATATGGTTTTTAATCAAAAATATATCTAAGCATTATTTAAAACAAGACATTTAACTTTGTCAGGTTAAAATCGTTAGAAGAAGATGCAGTTAAAGCCCAGATTGTCATCACTAGAGCACAGGAATTGGCAGAGGCAAGGTCTTTAGAAGATGCTGATGGACACTCAGAAAGTATGTTAAATTGTTCATGTTTTTCATAATAATAATTCTTTAACTATAAAGCATCTTAAGAAAAATATCGTGTTCTGTTGTAGGAAGGAAAAACTCATATCAGTTTAAGGATTTTATTTTTTTCAAAAAAACGTTTTGTATAATGCAAGGGGGGAAAAGTACTTAATCCTTAAAGGTTAGCCATATGCATTCATGTTCAAAATTAAGAAAATTCACAAATTATGTCTGTTTGCTCAAAAAAATGAAGCAAAGGTACTAATTATGCTGCTGAAGAATTAAGCAAATATTAAAAGTTGAATATCTAAGTGTACATGTGCGTTTCTGCAGAGCTGTGATTCTGGAGGAGATAAGAGTGGACGAGGGTTTTTTTGGCAGTTTGTGTGCAAATTCATGACATTCAGCATGTTCTTTGCAAGAGTTGAATAAATTTTGTAAAGTATCAGGCAAAATGGGTAGCCATGGAGAATTATCAGTAGATTGGAGGCAGGTCAGTCACAAGTGCAATGGCTACAGAGTTAAATGCAATCAGGGTTGCCACGCTACCGGGAAAGCCGGAAAATCAGAGAATTCGGAAATTGACCAAAAAATTCAGGGAAAAGTCAGGGAATTTAAGTGTTTTAGTCAAAATCTGGGAAATTCAGGGAATTTCATACAACAATCCTGCCAAAAAAGGCGAGTTTTGCGCCGACGTTGGAAGAGATCACTTTTTTGGGGAATTGTGTGTCACGTGAGTGTCATTCGGGCAGCTGGCATGGAGCCTATTTTCGCAGCTCCAATTTGATTGTCTTTTAGAAAGGCAAAGCAAGTTTCCCGCAACTTTTGGTTTCCAGTAACCTTGAGAGTCGCATTTGCAGTGCATGAACTAAAGAAAGTACCTGTCGTCGTATAAAACAAAATGGGTTTAATCCTAATATACGGTACCATGAAGGTTAGAATAAAAAAATATGTATTGTAAAGAGGGAAAACTTCTCTGTAACAGACGTGGCTCTGTTCCATCATAGAAGGAAACATGCGCGATATATCTGTCGCCAAAGCTCAAAACCGGTGTCGAAGTTCGAAGGTCACGTTATCAAGAATTCATAAAATGAATATCGTTTAAAATTTCTTTAAGCTCTAAAGGAAAAGAAAATATTTTTTGGCGCAAGTAAATTAATTCATGGATTAGTTATTTTGAGGGGGGGAACTACGAAAATCCGTTTTTAAAATTATTGCGAAAAATCCAAGAAAAAACGTTCTTTGATAAAACATTTCTTGGATTTTTCGCAATAATTTAAAAATGGATTTTCATAGTTTTCTTTTTTGTCAAAGAACGTTTCTTCTTAACACATGTTTCTCAATTTCCTGTACACATCGCGGAAAGGGAAATTCTGGCCGCCAGGTTCCGTCACCAAATCCCTTGGCAAATTTTCCCTCCGCTTTCTAGCGGCGTAATAGCATTTACATGTATGGAACCTTTTCTTCTTTACATAGACGTTCTTTGGTTAGAATAATCTCCATGTATGGTACAGCGGGATTTGGCGACATGGTGATGAGCAGTAAACGGGTCATTTTGTTCTGGGCGACAATTTTCAAAATCATGCGAAGGCCGTACCGTATACTAGGATTTTACCGCAAAATCTTTTTTTGTTTCTTTTCTTTTTGATAAATACCTTGTCATTTTGCAGTAAAATAAAAAAATAGTAATCAGTCATCTAGGCTAACTATATTCGCTAAAATATCGTTGATTATTCTAATTCAATTTTAAGTAATTATCTTTATTTTATGTTATTTATATCATTTAATGTTGCTTCTTCCCTCTAAATTTATTTATCATTAGTAAATAATATTTCCAAATTTCAGGAAATTTTTCTCTGGCTTAATCCTGAAATTAATTCTAGCAGTATGATGACATCACGAAATTTAATGTACATATTTTTTGCTTATGTATGCTGCAAATAAATATAAAATACCTCAATTAGTAAAAAATATCATTAAATATATTTCTTTCTTTCAGTTTCGCTGCAAGAATGTCTGAAAAAAAAAAGGAACCTTATTTTCATTCCAGATTGGGCAGCTTCTAATCCTCAATCTTCAGTGGAGAAAACAACTCCTATTATAATTATATTTGTGTTTTCAGTGTTAAGGTGCCTTTTAAGAAGACACCTCACACAAATTAAATTTACCTAAAATCTAACCTAACTTTTAGCACTGCGTTGTGATTTATAAGAACCAGATTAGCCTCATGTTGAACTGGTGATGATCATGAGTAATAATTAAATAAAACGTACAATTGTTATCTAATGTATATATCTTAAATCTTATTAAGTTTCTTAAGTGGAAAAGTAAGCAAAGTTATCAAACAAAGTGTACCAAGAATAATTAAGAATAAATGTCCTCTGGGATTTATTGAATAATTAAGTGAATTTGCTACACGGTACAAGTAATACCATAATTAATTTACCTCTTAGCACAGCCAACGTACATTACGCAGATAGACTGGAATTTCGAGGAATTTCATTCTCCTGTTTGAGTGGCAACCCTGTGCAATGTCCACTGTTGTCTATAGTTTGTACAAACAGTTTCAAGACACTAAATCTATATCAAGAAGACCTGGACAAAGTTGACCAAGATCCAAAATAGCGAATGAGGATTGTTATTTGGCACATTCAGGGTGCATTCAAAGCTTAGTGAGTATGTAAAGTCCCGCTAACAGCAGCACAAAAGAGAGAGCATTTAACATGGTGCGGATGACATGTGCCTTGGACCAGACTTAAGCTATGCATATGTGGGCAGTGATAAATTAGAATGTAACATTTTTATGGAAAATTAAGGGTTTTTTTTTTTTTTTTTTTATTTTTTTTTTTTTTTTTTTTTTTTTAATTCTGATATAATATAGAATATAAATAAAGGGTGCCATATTTACTATCCACAGATTTTTCAAGTGTACTTGAACTTGTTTCTTAACATAGTTGCCTGTTCTTTGTGTACCTTTACTGTATACCTTACATAAGAGAACTGAGGCCAGGGAACTTGGCTGCTTCTTAATACTATCCATCAGCTGCTCATTACTCTTAAATCACTTTTATCTTTGTAAAAGAATGATAGTATCTGGTGCGAGATCCAACCTGTAAGGAAGGTAATCGAATACTTCCCATCGAAACTGCAGGAGCAGTCTATGCATGCATGTGAATGTGTATAGACTTGCATTGTTGCACAGAGTGATTGCCTGACATCAGCATGCCATCCTGCTTGTTATGAATTCCCTGCCAATATTTTAAATTAAAAAAAAAAAAAAAAACTTTTATTTGTAGTCTGTTTGGGAAATTTAGAGCTTTAGGGCCAAACCCTTGGCTGATTTGAGTGTGAAAGCCTCTCATCACAAATTCTGTCAAAGCTCTCCTTGTAGTCCCAGAAGACTATAACTGTTACCTGTTATTCTTGAATAGGCCAGGAGTAAATCGGTCGAGACAACCAAACAGGGCTTGACAACTACAGAGAACCTGTCAGGATTATCAGAGCCTCTGCAATGGTTCCAGCACTGTGGTAGAGACTGCACTTAAGCCACTCTGTTGGCGACAAATGGTTTCCATTGTTTAGAAGATCCTTTCAACCAATGAAAGACGGTTTGAGAGTCGCTCCAGAAGGAAAATTTGTTTCGCGAAATGAGGAAAGAGACCTTATAAATAATTTCCTAAACATGCAGCGAGGAGTGCTGCCATTAACTGTAATCTTGCAAGAGTCAAAGTTTTTAAAGGAGCAACTTTACCTTTTGACATTATAAAGCTCACTTTAATTTGGCCATTGCAATTCATGTACTTTAGGAGCCTTGGGACTGCCGTCACAAAACACATGAAGAGAAACTCCATTTATTTCTGCACTCTCAAAAAGCATTCTTTCAATAGATAGGGATTCAAGTTCACAAAGTTCAGAACACCAGGTTCTCCATTTATTTTGTAAGTCACTTGGCAAATCTTCATCCCATTGTAGACCACATTCCCACATCTCTTGTAGAAGAATTTTCACAGTGATTACAAAGGGACTAATCAGTCCACATGGATCAAATATCTTTGAGTAACTCTCAAAATGTGTCGCTTGGTTATTCTGACATCAATGGAATCCCTAGCATCTCTTAAATCTAATTTAATTTTATCCTCAATCGGATCCTACTTCAATCTCAAGGAACCTGTTCCTTGCCCGAAATCAGCATTTTAGTCATATCTATTTTTATTCCAAAGTTTATACAATTCTGGACAATTAGCTTTTAATTTCCTCAAATGAAATCCTGCGGCTTTCAATATCTCTATTGCCATAGAAGTCAAATGATAAGCATCGTGAACGGTATTGGCTCCATAACACAGATCATCAACATAAGGAATTTAACATGTCATAACATTTTGGATGATGTTCTGTAAATTTCTTAATGTGAAATTTCAAAATGCAAACCAAGGAAAATGGCGAAGTGGTTAAACCAAATGGGAGCCAATTTAAATGAAGTGTTTCAGTTGAATTAATCACCTACATCTTCGGGAAACCACGAAAATTTAAGATATTTTCTATCTTCCTCAGCAATCTCTATCATAAGAAAGACTTTCTCTAAATCTCCACAAAATGCAACTTGATTTTCCTGAAATTTAAGAATTCTATCCAATAAATTTGCATAAAGATTTACTCCCGATTCTAGACACTCATTTAGAGACTTATTATTTTCAGTTGCGTTGCTGCTATAGTCATAAACAATTCTGACTCGAGTTGTTTCCTTGTCATCCCTAATTACCACTCTGTGGGGCATATAATATCCTGAATTTTTATTTTCATTAACACATTTTCCCACAATCTGACATTCTTAATTGATCCGATATAATTTGTTTATACTGGTTATAAAATTCTTGATTTTTACTTAGTTTTCGCTTTAACGAATCAAAACTCTTTTTTGCAACCTCATAATTAGAATTTAACCCAACTGCGTGTCCCATGTTTTCCTTCCACATCAATCTGCAAATGTACCTTTCCCCTTTAAATTC